ACGGATTACATTCCTATCGAGATATGACAATCCATAGAGAAGACGATTAGGTGTAGGCTTCTTATCGTTCAGCTCAAATCCACATCATTCATCTGCTTCTAGTCAACAGATTTTGTTTTGCGAGAAGCTTGCCTGTATGTATATCAACGCTCCAGGATTACTAAGTAAACAACCAGTGAGGCGGCTGTGTCACGAATCAAAACCATGCGACCTCTTCGCTATAGCGGAGACATGGTTACTCCCTGACATAAGTGACATGAAGATCGCACTGCCAGGAATATCCATTGTTCGGCACGACCAACCCAGCGAAGGTGGAGGGGCGGCTCTGTACTTCCGCAGTGACCTCCAATGTGAACTCATACAGGATCCAAACAGCACGGTACAAGATTCCGTTTGGTGCCGTCCACGTTTAAAAGGCGACAACACTTGCTTAGTGGCGGTCGTGTACTGCCCTCCTTCCTCCACGCCTGAGATGCACTCCCAACTGGCATCCGCCATAAAGAGGGTGATAAACACAACTTACAGTCACATTCTCATTTCAATATCCACGTTTTGGAATCCAAAGCAGTTCCCCGAGAACAGTTTAAGGCCGATTTACAAGAGCCTGTCTCCAGTTAACCGCTGTAATGCCACATCAACACTAACACTCGATTCCGAGATAAAGATAAGCCATCAATACTGGATTGGATATTCATGAACGAAGAACTGTTGGTCAAGTGGGTGATCGTCGACGTCCTATTGAGCCACAGCAATCATGCAGTACTACTCTACGAATACATTTGCTATGCATAATATCCCGTGGAAATTGCCGACACAACGAGAAGTTATGTAAGGTTTGACATATTAGCTCGACTAGGTGAGACAGCCAAATGGATATTTCTGGCAGTTCAGGCGCATGGGAACATTTCGTCAGCCACTTAAAATTTGATTGCCGAAGCGTTAGTGACTACGACCTTCCGCTCGAAAAACGTGGTCTCATATCTGCGAAGCATGACAAGCAGGTGTATATACGTGCGAAACTCAGTTTGGCATAGCAACAAACTCTCCCGAGCACAGAGAACTTGACGGCGACCTAACGTAACCACTCTACTCAGCTTGCTCGAGAGGACAGAATGGATTACCAACAGAAGTTGGCAGAGCGTATGACTTCCAAACACTAACTTCTATGTCAACACATCAACAGCCTACTTAAGGTGAAACGGGGAATTCCTCCATTTCAAGAAGGAGACAGACCTACACGGACACCGAAGAAAGCGGCGAATAACCTGCGACTACAATATACTTCACTATCTGAGGGTGACTACTTGTCAATGAACCGCATGACGATGGTTGTTGTACCCCAAAAACTCATACATATGTCCTTCACGGCAGAAACTGTACTAAAGTGCTGTTGAGTATGCGCAAGCACAGCTCTCCTGGAGTTGGTAATATACACACAAATTCTCTGCGGCAGTCTGAGAGAGTTCAGCTGTGAATTTGGGTCCATTTTTCCGACACTGATTGAAGAAGTGTACATCCCCGATATGTGGAAACACGGGATGATTACTCCTTTTCACAAGGGAGGTAGTCGTTCTAATCCAGCCAAGTACTGTGGCTGGCTAGCAGATCAACCTCTTTCGTGGTGTCAGTTTTGGGTTATCGGGTTTAACCCGTTCCAGCAAATGGTCAGGTGGCGGTATTCTAAGACCTGGTGGGTTTTCGTCTAGCAAGCTTTATCCCTATAAAAAGTCACAGGTGTCTGCTTATCAAAACTGCGACGTGGCCGATGTGACTCGCCACAAACTAATGGCTGCTCCGTGGACACTCGGAAAATGCCATCCAGCCCACGGATATCAATAGATTATACTTACATTCCTGACGATTACAAACACACAAAATTGCTGTGGCACATTATTAAACACAAGCTACACAGCTACAATCCTAACAGTGGTTGGTGGCATCCGGTATCGCAGTTGCCTGTCACCGTGACCTCCACAGCGACAGCGGCAGGAAGCCTACGCCTACAGAGGGACCATAGGTGACTTTCGCTGCACCACCCACAACTCCAACCGTACACCCCATATCCAGTGTGAACCTGAAGGAATATGACGGGAGGATTGTGGATGGGAGCCACGTTTCATCAACGGAGCCAGCCCACAATCCTTCACAGGCAAACACAAGCACGTTGTATTTGGTGAATCAACCGCACACAATACGGTGGTTGAACCATGGTCCGTTCCACACTGAGTGCATGGAACCACGCTTCGAGCTTAGCACGGCCACAATGACCGTGCAACCCGTCCCCTCCAGCAACGACCAACTGTCTCATGGAGCCAGTATGGACAAGGTAGTGGGCAATAGACAGGTAGGAACCTTGTCAACATGCACGACAAGTGCAGCCACACGGGATATCAAGCAACAGCCAATCACTAGAAATAACATTCTCAAAGAAGCATATCTGTTTTTTTATTAAACTCTTACTACCGCTTTTCTCAAAGGACATGAAAGTTTTTTTAATGCGCTAACGGCCTATTTGGAAGCATTTTACTACCTCGAACCGGAGCACATGGCTACCGACGAAATCGATCTTGTACTACACATCAACTGCTATCACGAACCAGATGGACTGAAGCAGTAGACTCTGGCACAGGAGTTGTTGTAATCTTTCTCGACTTCTCAGAGGCCCTCAACCTCCAAACCTCTGATAATAGTGATCATTCCCTGGGAAAGACCAGAAGCTTTCTTCTACACCGGCGCCTGGA